GGATGGAGAGACGGATGGAGAGACGGATGGAGAGACGGATGGAGAGATGGATGGAGAGATGGATGGATGGCTGGCTGGCTGGCTGGCTGGTTGGCTGGCTGGCTGGCTGGATGGATGGATGGATGGATGGAGATGGATGGAGATGGAGGGAGATGGATGGAGATGGATGGAGAGGGATGGAGATGGATGGAGATGGATGGAGATGGATGGATGGTTGGATGGAGATATGGATGGAGATATGGATGGAGATATGGATGGAGATATGGATGTATGGATGGATGGATGGATGGATGGATGGACGGAGGGAGGGAGGGAGGGAGGGAGGGATGGATGGACGGATGGAGAGGGAGAGAGAGAGAGATCACTGAGACCACTCTCTTTTCTAGACCTTCTTTACACTTCCTTTACACTGTTTCGAGGGGCCAAGCTTCGCGAGGTCCTGGTGCGCAGTGGGCAACAACACCAGCAGCTCTGGAGGGCTCTCATCACGGGCCCAGCTGAAACGCCCTACAGCGGAGGATGCTTTGTGTGGCTTCCTGGTTGGGTGGGGGGGAGGCTAGGAGAGCACTGAGAGAGGCCTTAAGATGCCTTTTTGCAAGATATGTTTAATTACCTCGGTTGCTGGCGTGGTCATCACTGCCTTTCCGCATGTCGAGACGCGGCATTGAAGCTGACGATGCGAGACGATAGGTGGTTTTGGCTGATTTCCTGGTTTGAGAAAGGTGCGCCCAGGCACTATATAACTCATTTAGCCTCCTTCCGGCTGGGCCAATCTGTGACCTCCGCCCATTGTATAGAACATGGTTTTTTTTCTCGCTCACCAATCCAAAACACACATCCTCGAAAGCCCACACATGTTTCACGCACACACCATCACACACACATCCTCCCTTCTACCGCCGCGATACTGTGCAATACTGCCGTACGGCGGCTGAGATCTTCGACATTTACTTTCCCTGGAGCTATCCAAATACGCCTCCACAAGTGAGGCTACTCACCACAGGCGGACACCGCTCGACCCTCGGGGCTCGTCTCGACCGGCCGATGAAGAACGGTCCAAAGCAATCCCCTCAAGTGCCTGGGAAGTGCTTGATGAACCCTTGATTGATAACTTATTGTGGAGACGGTGGAGGACCATCGTCACCTGGTGAACATCAAACTTGTATAGCTTAAAATGTATAAAATCCCTGACACCGTGCCACTATCTACTCTTCAGCAGGCGTACGTACCCCCAAAAAAGGAAGAATATGGAACAATAATGTTTTCACGGTCCATGTTAACCATACGTAGTTGACTGGGTGCTGTTCCATGTAAACCGGGAAAAAACTTTGGGGACCGCCATAATTGCTTAAATGTATGCTTTGGGCCTGCGTCGGTGAGACAAGCTGATTTCGTAAAGCTGGACAAGCTAAGCAGCTAAGGCTTCTGTCAGACATCGAATGTCTCTCCCTGGACCTATCCAGTCAAAGTGGAAAACAGTCGTGTTGAGGTTTGTAGAGGAACATGGTCTTCCAAGGGGTTTTGTCCTTGAGGTCCTTGTGAGCCCTTCAATCGAAGGCAAGATCCATATCAGTTAGCGGCCGAAACGAGGGCCCAAACGAGCCTTTCGGGTTCGGCCGACACCTCAGTGGAGGCCCCCAGAAGGAAGAAGTAGATGGAAGTAGATGAGTTGATGGATGGCGTAAGTGTTATGTTCTTTTTGACTGGCCTTCGACGGTTTTAGGCTACAAGACCAAGTCCTAGGGGTCCTGGGTTTGGAAGTCTCCTCCCAGTGCTCATCCTCGGCCCTCCACTTTTCTCTGCCCGACGGAGGTCCTGACAAACCATTCGCCTGCCATTCGCAGTCCAAAGCCGACCCCTTCAACCTGACCTTATTTGGGCTTATAGCCGCCTAGACATCCCATCCAGACCATCAGGCCGGGGCAGTGCTTCAGCTCCCCAACCGTGACGCCGCGACGGCTCAAGCCGGTCAAGCCACGAGCCGGCTCAACCTAGTTGCGTCGAGACGTCTCCGGGGTCATATCGGTGCCAATGACGCTGAGGGTGCTGCTGGTCCTTGGCTGGGCAGCTTCCGTGAACGGTGAAGGATGCGCGGTGCCCATGACCTTTCCACAGAGCTCCACTGTGACGAGGTGAGGCTTCGGACGAAGTGAGACTTTGGATGAGGAGGGCTCAAGCCAAGGCGCTGATGAGGTTGAACATGTTGAGGCATCGCAAAATTGAGGCCGGATTTGCCTGCCACCTGCAAACTACATGAAGTGGATTCAGGCAACCTCGCAGACACAATCACAGAGTCTCAGTGTTTGGATTTTGTGAAGCTAAAGCATGAGCAAATCATAGCAAATCATGGACTCGTTTGAGGCCTGTGTTGAAGATCTAGATGAGTTGCAAGACAGAATCCAGGACAATTGACATTCTTGCCGGGACCATGTCTTAGATCCTTTGGCAATGCCTTTGTAAGCTTATCAACCCACACCTACAGTCAAAAACCCCGTGGTGAGCATTTGGCTGCCTTGGTGGCTACTAGTGTGCGGCAAAACGCGGCGTCGGTGTCGTTTACTTCCCTACGTTGAGTCGTGGACAACAGTGGACCTTGAGTCATCACCAAAGGAACGGGGGGAGGCCGGCGAGGCCGTGTAGGCGGCCGGAGCTTTTTCCCGGAGCAAGCTGCGGCCCAGCTTGCAAGCGCACATCAACACAATTGAACACCCCTCCGGTTTAAGTGGGAATACTTGGATTCCGAATCCCATGCCAATCCCTTGCCTCGAAGCCCTCTTCGATATGGGGGTTTTCTTCCCATATCTAACAATCCAACAATCCAACACATCTTCCTCCGCCACGACCGGGTTTTGACCGCCCTCTCAGGTCCTTTTGGTCGCCCAACGCCGCTTGGAGAGGGTGGGTCGTCTTTGGCACCTGGTGTTGGTCAAAGTCATTGCCAACCCAAGCGTGGCTGAAGGATGAACCAGGATGATGCGGTAAGGATGGTAGGATTGGGCAACTCATATGATGAATTGCTGTATAAACCACCTGTTTACTCAATTCAATTCCATAGGCACACACTCGCACATGCGTGCGATGGGTGCGTGCAATGGACTGTGAGTGCTAGACACAGATCTTGGCATTTGCTTGTTGGCATGCATGCAGACTGACACGATATCCTGAGTGACAATGTATAATATATGACATGGCTCTTCGATGCTGTTCGTTGGAGAAACCCCCACTAGAGCAAGACGAACTCCGTGGGGCTCTTCACACTCCTCGAACTTGGGGCTCTTCCGACGTCCGCAGACGTCGTCCGTATCGACCGGAGGGTCCCCATGACCTCGGCCGCCGAGGCGAAGGTGGACTTCTCTCCGATGACCTTCATTCACACCGACGGCTACTGTCGCAAAGGGCCCCCCGGTCGTCTGAAGGAAGGGCTCGATATCCTGGTCGTAGTAATTGGTAGGAATGGACATGGATGTTCATCATGAGTTTGGTAGAGGAACCCCTAGGACCTAGGAAGTCCAGTTCGACTATTTTTTACTGACTGAAGTAAAGGATGTTCCTTTTCAGGTCACCTAAAGACTCTTCTTTTATTAGTCTTTGACTTTCAGGGGAACAGCGATGCAAAGATGACTCACGTGAACTCCTGGCGGGGGGCCATGCCAAAGGTTGCTTCCACGAGGGCCATGCGACGCGAGTCATAAAAGTCTCATACACGAGTCTGTCATACGTGTCACGAAGCACGCTGGCCCTCCGGCATTTGGCGGACCGGGATCCATGTGGGTGGCAGTCGCATGAATACCCAAACACTCCATGGGACTGCCATATATGCCTGCATTGACCCCAAAGCCACCCCAACTGATCGGCAGTCCGGACTGACAGTCCCATGTGCCGTGTCTGGGATATGAGCTTAGTGTTCACAGCTGCAGGCTGGGTAGTGAAAAACGATTGACCCCCACTGCACCTCGGAAGGTCGCCATACTGAGCTGTTCGGCCCTGTTCGGGCCTGTTCGGCTGTTCACTCAAAAGGGGTCGTAAGACTTCGGTGAAACCAGAATTTCACCCATGAACAGCATGTACCCAGGGCACCGATGTAGAAGTTCAGAAGAGCACCGTGAAGAGCACCTGTCCAGATGAAAGCGACCGAAATCGCACTGCAGGGTACGCCAGAAACCGAGCGCCCGGGCCTGCGCCGTTCTGACCATCCCCAGAAAAGCAATGGCGCCCGGTGCGAACGAGAAAAAGGATTGGCTTCAGAACCGCTGAAATGCGTAGGCGGAGCCAATATTAAGTATACGGCGCACGGATGCGCATGGTATAATAGATATTCTGATTATTACTCATTACCTGGCCGGATTGTTGATAGGGGCAGGTTTCTTACAGGGACCAGGGACGGGTTTGTCCCAGGATTTCCTTTGAACGAAGGATTGCCCATCCATCACAAGATTGTCAGTATAGAACTGTGCTAGGGGAGCGGCCTCTTCCTGGACTCTTCACCCGCTCCGACATGGCCAAAAAGGACACCCATGTCGCACCCTGCTCCCCCAGCCCCGGAGATCGGACCGAACTAGACGGAACCGGTGGCCGAACTAGATCGACCGGGCGCGGATGCCAACGGGGTTCGCTCCCAGGGAGTCCTGGCCCCACGACCCTGCTTTGCAGACCAACGTCGGCCGCCGGGCGGAGAGCTGGGAGAGTGCGGAAGACGTGTGGAAGACGGGGGGGAGTGGGGAGTGGATGTGGAGAGGAAAGTGGTAATGGTTCTGGTTGGAGATGGGATGGGAGTGCGAATCTTTGGCGTTGGTCTTGGTGAGACTTCTTGGAGATGATGACTTTAGTAAACATTATTGAACCATTTTCAACAACATGTCTTCAGAACTCTTCAAGGTTTTCACAGGCCTGCTGTCCAACTCAGAACTCTTCCACTTGCTGAATAGACCTTGCCTCCTTGCCTCGGCCATTTCACCCATCTGTTTCCAACAGCTTCGGACCAAACCGGGGTTCCGCCCCAGGATCCGATCCCCAGGGCCCAATCGCCCAAACTCACCGAAGCCCAGCAAGCTGAACAGGCATGTTCCCAGAACAGGCCGGTCCCTTGCCAAATAGGGAGACACCGTGAAACACCATGCTAAGACTCTTACAACTCGTCACTCAGGACTCTCAGGACTCAGGCGCCTTAACCTTCATTCCCAGAATGACTGGATCACCATCATCACTCGATGCTTTCTTGAGATGTTTGACCTGGACATTAGTTCATATTAGTTCCAACTTCTCGGCGTGTGCCAATCGTGCTGCAAGATGAGGGACGACCAAGTCATGTTGGGTCAAAATATACAAGTCAAGGTTTCGATGTACTGTCGACATTGGTTGACTGACATGATCAGATCCCAGCATTGGAAGCACCAGTATGCCAGGATCCAGCGAAAAGACCAAAACCAGACGACCATCAGATGTTCTTTGTTGTTGTCACTCTGCCCGATGTGTTGGTACTTATGTTGGGACCTGCACTTTTTTCCGCAAGCCAAGAAATACCGGATACTTAGTATATACTGATACTGTATACGGATATAGTGCACGTACAGAACTCGTGGCACTATAGAAAGGTCTTTTCCTTCGCGGGGGACGGACTGGACCAGGCATCCGCGCGAGCCGCGCGAGCCGGTCTCTGCAGGGCAGGTCCATGGAGCACCGAACAACGCGCTGCTTGGGCTAGGGGCGGGAGAGGCCGGCAAGGCTCGGTTCCTTCACTTCAGAACACAACCTCCTTTTTGGAAACAGCCGAGGTGATTTTTCTTAGATTCTAGTTTCTATGGCAGCTGGCGCCATTTACAGCATGCAGACCAAAGCCTGGGTCCAAATGTGGGACACCATAGACTAGACCTTTGTTGCCCATCTTCTTGCTACTTCCTGCAGCGGCCAAGCACTCTCTACAGCAGACTCCGGAGAGTCGCCCCCAGATTTACCAAGTGAAGGACGTCGCATGGAGTCCACCTGGAGGGCGACTTCAGAGCCAAC